CAACGGCATATAACAACAACAACAAGGAATGAATGTGTAAAAGAGCCTGCGGAGAGAATGCATTCCCAGAACATTTCAGAGTGAGTGGGGATTTGCAGGAAGAGGGAAGAGGGAAGAGGGGCAGGGTGGGCGCAGAGGGCACTGCATCTCCACTGGGGGTGGTGGGGACAGGTGCGGCCTGGCTGTGGCCTGACGGAGGGAGGGTAGTTAGGAGGCTCAGAGTTGGGTAGGGACAGGGTATCAGAGATGCGTCCTGCAGTGTCACTGCTGGTGTGCAGGAGAGGCTCTCCTGAGGGTCACTGCTGTGACCTGATCTTGGATTCCTGACCCAGGTGACCTTGGGAAGGTGCAAGGCGCTGCGGGGCCTCCTTTGGGTAACGTGGGGGGTGTCCCAGTGTGCACCCCTAGAAGGCGTGCGGAGACTCTTCCGGGAATGCGCGTACCACCCCGCACCCAGAGTGCACCCGCGTGGCCTTGAAGTCCAGACTTCTGAGAGGTGGCTGGATGAGATCCCAGGTTCTCAGACTGCAGGCTGAGCATCCAGCGCCAGCCCCGCCTTCAGCCGCACCAGGGCTCAAAGCCAAGCCCTTCCAGGCCCCACCCAGCGCATAACGCAGACACAGGGAGAAGAGGCGGACCCCGCACCCCTGGCACCGAGCCCTGGAGGTGCTGGGCCAGTGAGGGCTCCACTGAGGGATGGGGTGCCCGTGGGCTAGGAGAGGGCAAAGCCTGCCCAGATTGGAGATGTCCCCTTTGCTTGGCTCCCATTTTTGTGATAAATACCCGTGTCACTTCCATCCCTTATCAATTGGCAGTGGGTTCTCTGTATACCTCTGCCCACTGCAGACTGAAGCAGTTTCTCCCATGGGCCAAGGCGTTCCTGGAGGGTTCCAACAGTTCATGTGTTCAACTGCTAACCAGAATATCGCCCGCTGGAGTTCACCTTAAGGCACTTAGGAAGAAAGGCCTGGCAATCTACTTCAAAACAGCAACATATGCAATCCCAGAGGTACGCTGTTCAAATCCACCAGATGCTCTGCTGGAGAAGGAAGGGGCAATCTCTTCCTGTATCAGTCAGATCTGATTTGACGGTACACGTAAAATTAATAAAATAAAAATTAAAAAATAAAAAAGCAACATCAAAAGCGCTGTGGAGCACTGTCCTCTCCGACATACACGGGGTTTTCACTGCGGTTGTCAGCACACTGTGAGTGTGAGAGGGACGCGCATGCACACACGCAGCCAGCTTGGGGCATGGCACGCACAGTGTCCCGCAGGAGCCTGAGTGAGCTCTCAGAGGAAGCAGCCCCACCCTGAAGCCTGAGGGTGTAGCCAACTGGTACCTGGGAGTCCCTGACCCAGGGAAGATGCCCTCAGCACCATGGCCTCTGAAGCTCTCAGTCAGTGTAGACGATGCTTATTTTTAAATTAAAACAAATATCTGTAGAAAGCAGAAATGCAAGCCTGGCTGGAATTACGTAGGAATCCTTGCAGGTGGATTGTTCTGGCACTTACATTTCACTCCCTTAAAAAGAAACTGAGTGCTTTGGCTTTTGCGCCTCTCTCCAGAGCCTGCTGCTCTGGGCCTGGCTGCCATCCAGGCTGCAGCCAAGCCCCTCCACGCCCGGCTGCCTCTCACTGGTGCTGACTCACACTGCAGCCAGTGCGCAGCCTCTTCAGGTCTCAGCCTGGGTCAGTCAGTGCCAAGTTCAGTGACCTGTACCTGACAGCTTGCTGTCGACCCTCTGCCCCCAGAACCCTTGGCTTAGTGCCCATATGAAGTAAGTAACCAGCTGCAGAGACTACTGGCTGCTGCTTCTTCATTCCTGCTACCTTCAGAGCTCAGACTTGGAGCTGCTGCCCTCTCCACCATGATTGTTTGGAGCACATCACACATGGGTGGCCTGAGGGCTGATGCGGGGGCAGGAAGAGAGGGGGTCCTTCTCCATAAAATGTAAGACAACTGTGGGAATCAGCTCTGTGCCTGAAGCCTCGAGAGCCCGGCAAGGGTAAGGAGCGAGGAGTGCGCTCTGTGATTGTTTCACAATTTTCTGAAGCTGCTAGGTGCTGCCGAGTCAGCTCTGACTCACAGCAAGCCTACGTATACCAGAACCAACCTGCCCCGTCCTGACGCACACGCACACATGCAGCCAGCTTGGGGCATGGCACGCACAGTGTCCCGCAGGAGCTGAGTGAGCCTGACCCCGTCCACTGTGCTTAATTAAGCCCATTGTGGCTGCCACTGAGACCATCTGTCTCATAAGGACCTTTCCTTCACTGACCCTCCACTTCTCCTTGCATAACGCCCTTCTCCAGTAACTGTTCCCTTCTGATAAGATGCCCAAAGCATGTGGGATGACGTCTCGCCGTCCTCCCCTCTCAGGAGCATCCAACCTTTATTTATTCTTTTCAAGGCAGATTTTCTGTCCTCCTGGTAGTCCATGGTATGCTGCATATTCTTGGCCAACAACACATCACCCCATCACAATTCCAGGCAGATCTCTGGCCTCGCTGTATCATGTAAGCAAACCTTCAGCTTCTCGTCGTCCAGCTGTCCAGTGTAAGCAGCACGTCAGGAGCTAGAACTTGAAAGGCCAATTACTGGTGCTCAGAACAGTCATCTCTACAAACTTCGGCAGTGGCATCCTCAGCCTTTCATGATCTTGGTGTTGAGGAGGAAGGCAAGGCAGGTGGGGCCTCAGGGTGGCACTGGTGGGTGGGTCCAGCCCTGTGCCCACAGATCTGAACACAGAGGCTCAGAATGACAGCACCTGCCTAGCTGTCCCTCTTGGTCCTCACAGCATCCTTGTGGAGAATGGATTTTGTCGTTAGTGCAGGGCCCAGCACAGATGTCACCTAACCTTTTGGCGTCACCTCCTGGCCTTCCTTACATTGTCCCAGCAGTCAGTTCTCCAGAGTCACAGGTGACTTGACAGCACATAATAACAACAACAGCAACAACTAAAATGTTATGTGTCCTCAAGTCGATTACTACTTACAGCAAATCCTATGAACAATACCTCTTAATCTCGTCCTATCTTGAGCTAACCTCATAGTCTCTGATCCACCTGGCCCCATTCCCACAGTCACTGTGTCAATGTACCTCATCTAGGGTGTTTCTTTTCTGCGCTGACCCTCTACCCTTCCAAGTATGATGTCCTTCTCCAAGGACTGGTCTCTCCTGGCAACATGCCCAAAGTATGTGAGATGGAATTTCAAAATCCTTGTCTCCAAGGAGCAACCTAGTTTCACCCTCTCCAGGACAGACCTCTTTGTTCTCTTGGTAGACCATGGTTATGTTCAATACTCTTGCCCAGCACAACTCAAAGTCATTGATTTTTCTTCTATCACCCTTAGTTATTGCCCATCTCTCTGATGCATAGCAAGTAATTGGAGAAGACCATGGTCTGGCTCAGTTCATGAACCTTAACCTCTACACTGACATCGTTGCTCTTTATCATTCTGGAGAGGTCCTTGAAAGCAGACTTTCAGAAATCAACTGGTCTTTTAATTTCTTGACTGATGGTGCTAAGAGTGTTGTTGTTTGTAGATTGTGCAAGATGAAATTGTTAACAACTTTAATCTCTTATCTATCACGATGCTGTCAATTAGACCACTGGTGAGAATCTTCGTTTTCTTGATGTTGAAATGCAATCAATATTGAAGACTGCCATCTTTGACCTTCTGAAGCAAAAGCTTCAAGTATTCCTCAGATTGTGCGAATAAGGTGGTGTCATCTGCATAATGCAGGTTGTTCCTCCAATCCTGATGTTACAGTTTTCAGCATGAAGTCCAGGCTCCTGAATGATCTTTTCCTCATATAAATTGAAAAAGTATGGAGATAAGATGCATTCTTGAGGCAATTCTCTCTTAATTTTAAACCATGCAGTGTTCCCTTGCTTAGTTGAGTATTTAGAATACTCAGTCTACTTCCTGGCATGAGCACAATCAAGTGTTCTGGGATTCCTGTTCTCAGTGTTAGCCACAATTTGTTGTGATCCACACAGACAAAATGCCTTTGCATAGTCAATAAAACACAATAAAATATGACATTCTCGTGTTACTTTCTGCTTTCAGCCAAGTTCTACCTGTGTTCTAGTCGTTTTTGGATAATCTTCAGCAAGATTCTGCTTGTATATGATTTTAGTGATGTTGTTAGACAATTTCCACATTCTGTATATTGGCGCTTATATTTTAGCACTTAACACTGAATTGCATTCATGCATGCAGTCATTCACTCATCCATCCTTCCTTCAGCGATCCACCCACCCTATCCATTCATCCATGCACTCAGGATTAAGTCTTAGAATTACGCTGGGCATCAACTAAATTCTCAGTAAAATTTCACTCTTGACATGAATACCATTCGTTCAGCTATTCACTTATTCAATATTTATGACATGTCTTGGGGGGACTGTGTTGTTCACTACTGCCGCAGCAGGGAGACAGACAGACCGTCTGTGCCAAATTTGGTCTTTCAGGAGGTTTTCTGCAGAGAAGGCTTAGAACTCTTCCAATTGGGAGCTCTGGTGACCTAGTGTTAAGAAGCTGCGCTGCCTTCCCAAAAGCACGTGGTGCGAATCCACCAGCTGATCCGCTAGAACAATCTCCCACTGTGCGATTTGCTGCCTCTGAAAATCCACCGGAGGTTCGTCTATAGGTCAGCTCAGACTCTACAGTACACAACGACCACCACCACCACCACCACCACCACCACCACCACCACAACAACAGCAGCAGAGTCTCTGCAGAGAAGGCGCGGGCCCCGCCCAGTGCCGAGACTACAAGTCCCAGTATTCCCTGCGGCGACGTCGCCATCCTGCGCGTGCGCGACGCGGTGGCGCAGCAGCGTCGGTGGAGGTGCCGGCGCGCGGGGCGGGGCAGGCGGCGGCCTTTAGGGCGGAGCGGGCGCCGCGCCCTCAGTCGGCCGCGGGCAGCGGGCGACGCATCTTCCGGAGCCCGTTTGTGTCCGAACGCGCGAAGTCGCGGCCCCAGCGGCGCCATGTCGGAGCCCGGCGGCGGCGGCGAGGACGGCTCGGCGGGCCTGGAGGTGTCGGCCGTGCAGAATGTGGCCGACGTGTCGGTGCTGCAGAAGCACCTGCGCAAGCTGGTGCCGCTGCTGCTGGAGGACGGCGGCGAGGCTCCGGCCGCGCTCGAGGCGGCGCTGGAGGAGAAGAGCGCCCTGGAGCAGATGCGCAAGTTCCTGTCGGACCCGCAGGTCCACACGGTCCTGGTGGAGCGCTCCACCCTCAAAGGTGCGGGCCGGGGTGGGGAGCGGGGCTGCCGGCGCCCCGGGGAGGCCGCTGCGCACGGGGTCACCCGGGGGGCCCTCCCCGCGGGACACTGGGCCAGCACACACCCCAGAGAGGACCCCGTGGCCACTGACACCCCAGGAAGGGCCTCCTCGGCCACAGACCACCCAGAAGACGCCCCCACGGCCCCAGATACCCCACGAAGGGTCCTCCCATGGCGATCAGGGCCAGCAGGGCAGCCCCATGGCCGCAGACACCCCAGGAAAGGTCTGTCCATGGGGACAGGGCCAGCAGGGCACCCCTATGACCGCAGACACCCCAGGAAGGATCTGTCCAGGGTGCAGATCCAGCAGGGCACCCCCATGGCCGCAGACACCCCAGGAAGGATCTGTCCATGGGGACAGGGCCAGCAGGGCACCCCCATGGCCGCAGACACCCCAGGAAAGATCTGTCCATGGGGACAGGGCTAGCAGGTCACCCCATGACCGCAGACACCCCAGGAAAGGTCTGTCCAGGGTGCAGATCCAGCAGGGCACCCCATGACCGCAGACACCCCAGGAAAGGTCTGTC